TGTGAGGAAATAATGATCTGACAGTCTTCCTCTGTGTAGGGTGTTTGCAGCTTATCTTAACCTACTTAGGTTCGAATAGGTTTAGTTGCCAGTAAGCTCGCCACCCTCTGGGCGTTTATGAATGTCTCTGTCATCTATTTTTTCAATAAATTTTTGAAAATGTAATATAATTGAAAAAAGAATTGCCTTGTCAGATAGGTTTGGAACTGTGTTTCAGCGTGGAGAGAAAGAGGCAAGGGAGGGGGGAATACAGAAACAGGATTGCATAAATTCCTTACCCTTGGATAAGAGGCTACAAAGAGTGAAACAGAGCTTTGATTAGCGTGGTGGATTGAGCTGGTCTGCAGGCTTCTGTGAGTATTGAGCTTAATGCTCAGAGCTCCATCAAGCCTGACTTTGAATGTCTCCAGGGATGGAGACTCCACCACCTCTCTGGGCAACCTGTTCCAGTGTTGCACCATCCTCACTATAAAAATATCTTCCTTGTATCTAGTCTAAATCTACCTTATTTTAGTTTAAAACCATTGCCCCTTGCCCTGTCGCAACAGGCCTTGCTATAAACATTGCTTCCATCTTTCTTATAGGCTCCCTTTAAATACTGAAAGGCTGCAATAAGGTCTCCTCAGGCTGTAATAAGGTCCGTCCACCTTTGTCCACCTTGTATTGTTGCCATTTACAGGCTGGAACAAACAACAAACAGGTTCACTTTTGCTATGTTTTCCCTACTTTCTGACATGCTCTTCATCAAGGAGGGGGATCCCCTGCCTTGGTCCATGCCATGGCTGAAGCATCTGGAAGGTCTAAAATGTGAAGCCATGGGGAGCTAGAGGGTGACCTTAAGTACTGCAGTCTGGGCTCTGTCTACCCAACTGCAGAGAAAGCTGTTTTGAGTAAAGAAACCTACATCTTCCACCTGGGAAACAGTCCTGGGGTAAAAGTGCCCAATTCCTCATCCCAAATGCACTTGTGTTACAAGTAGGAACTTAAAGAGAATGAAGCCTCCCCGCCCCCAAAGCCACCATATTTAAGGCTGACAATGAAGATACTGGATTTGGAAAGAAAGATCTTTGACTAGATTTTGGGGAGTATATGTGAGTGGCTGTAGGAGCTGCCCTGTCAGTTCGACGGCCGAACTTGCCTGGCCGATACCCGCAGACTGGGGAATGTGGCAGCATTGGATCTTGAAACATGAAGCGCTGGACCATGGCCAAACTGTTCTTGTTCTGCAGGGAGTCACAATGAACAATGGCCGCTCTTCTCTCTTGGTGGAGGGGGTTACGTGATGAAGCGCTCTGTGGTGTCTACACAGCAGAATAGAAAGGCTGGGAGGGAGGTGCGCAGTATTTGTCTGTGTTTTGGGACAGAAATAGTCAAAAGGAAGCGAGCTTTGTAAGCGTAATTAACTTTGGCTCACTCCATGAATATCTAATAAACTTTTTTCTTTTTTTAATAGTCTTCTTCCTTTTGCCCAAATCTGTGATAGCTCACGCTTGCTTTCTTTGTAGCTTACTGCATGTACTTTGTATTTTTGACATATTGCTGTACATCATCGCAACTGCTGCACTTCAAGCAGGCTGCTTTCTCCTCCTCAGAGTTATTGCCTTGTGGTGGGTTCACCCCAGTCAGCAGCTAAATAGAATCATTAAGGTTGGAAATACCTCTAAGATCATCTAATCCAGCTGTTAACCCAACACTACCATAACCACTGAAGTGCCACCCTCACAGACATTCACTCCACCTGCCACGATGGGACAAGGGAGACAGTAAGAAAAGCAGAAGTGAGCAGACTTGAGTGTTGAAATAAGAGGAATTGAAGAAGCGAAGGAAAGGAAAAGGAAAACCCAAGGGATGTGAACACCACTTGCCGTCTCCCCTAAGCAAGACTGGTGTCCAGCCAGTCTGAGCAATGGAAGGCAAAACCCCCACTCCCTTGTTCCTCTTCCCAGCTTTTAGTGTCGAGCGAGTTGTTACGTGTTATGGAATTGGTCGGTTTGGGTCAGCTGTCCCACCTGTGTCCCCTCCCAACCTCTCACCCACCCCAAGCCTGCCTGCTGGGGTACAGCATAAGAAACAGGTGGTCTTGATGCTGCGCAAGCACTATTTGACAATAACACAACGATGTTTTTGCTGTCAGCGCTGGTTTAGTCACGATTTTCAAGCATGGCATCGTACATGTTGTTATGAAGAAAGTTAACTCTATCCCAGCCAGACCTCAGTGTGCAGTGGGAAAATTCAGCATGCAACACAACATAATGGAAAAGATTTTTTTAAAAATTTTGTTTTCTTTTACATAATTCAGAAGAGAGAGATTGTAGACTTAGTTGTGAGCCTACAAGGTACAGAAAGCTGCTGGATGGAGTCAGCCTGAAGGAATGGACACAGCTTACAAAGGCCTGGGGTGGAATGGTATTTATTTACAGCACTTTTTTTATTATTATTCTTTCTTACTCAGCAAGTCTGAATTCCTAGTTATTGCAATTTTCATCCAGATTTAAGCGTTGCCAAATTGGATGCACTTTTTTGATAGCACACAAAATGGGAGTATTCTTCTAGGAATAGGTGTTTTCCAATTGTGCAAAAGAGTATATGCTTGACTTGGAATATGTTTATTCCATATTTGGAATAAAGGGTGTCCTACTGAGGAAATAGACCAGTTTAAACTGATTAAACTGGCAAGGATTCTGCTAAGAGCTAGCACTCCAAAACCTAGGGGAAAGCTGAGGTTTTGGAGCATGTTAGACTAAGCACATACCTGTGCGTGCAGAGAAGTGACTAAAATGTTTGTTGAGTTTGGCTTCTTCAGCATAAAGCTGTCTAAAAAAAAGCTGGGAGCAGGATAGCACTGGGCTGCCTCTCCTGGACACCAGTCCCTCACGCAACAGGGGCTGTAAGCGAAAGATGAGGAAATACACTCAGTTAAGAAAGAAGTGCGTGAAGTGTAAAGAAAGGTGTTATCAATCACGTTCCATACTTTGGAAATTTCTTGTAAGCTTTAGATGACAGGCAGCTAAAGCATCCATGCTGTCTTCTCTGACTGCTAGAGTTTTCAGTGTGCTTTTCAAATCTCTTTATCCTGATTCTTCAGCTCCTGAAGTTGTGGAGCAGCCAACCTTTTCTCACCTGCCCCTTCCCAGTCCTCTACGCTCATCAAGCTTTAGCAGTGCCTTCCTCCACCAAGCTCCTCCTGAAGCCTCTGACAGATGAAATCTCCCTCCTAGGCTTAGTTCTGCTTGAGGACTTTCTCTACAGTAGCAAGAGAGAAACAGCATGGCTGATGGTAAAAATGTTGGTTGTGTTTCTGGGTTCTTACATACACACAACCCAACAAAACAACCCTCCTTTTATCCACTATACTTCATTAACAAATGCCCAGTCTTCAATATATTTTGATGTTCAGCCTAATGTGTGAATTCATAGAATCATAGAATTATTTAGGTTGGGAAAGACCTTCAAGGTCAAGTCCAACCTTTAACCCAGCAATGCCAGGTCCACCGATAAACCATGTCCCTAAGCGCCACATCTACATATCTTTTAAAAATTTCCAAGGGAGACGAGTCCACCACTTCTCTGGGCAGTCTGTTTCAATGCTTGACAACCCTTTCAGAAAGGGAATTTTTCAGAATACCCAATCTAATCCTCCCCTGGTACAACTTGAAGCCATTTCCTCTTGTCCTGTCACTTGTTACTTGGGAGAAGAGACTGACCCCCACCTCATTACAACCTCCTTTCAGGTAGTTGTAGAGAGATATAAGTTCTCTCCTTAGCCTCCTTTTCTCCAGGCTAAACAACCCCAGTTCCCTCTGCCGCTCCTCGTAAGACTTGTTCTTAAGACCTTTCACCAGATTCGTTGTCCTTACTTGGACTCACTCCAGCACCTCAATGTCCTTCTTGTAGTGAGGGGCCCAAAACTGCACACAGTACTCAGGGTCTGGCCTCACCAGTGCCAAGTATGGGGGTAAAATCACTTCCCTGGTTCTGCTGGCCGCACTATTCTGGACACAGCCCAGGATGCCATTGGCCTTCTCGGCCACCTGGACACACTGCTGTCTCGTGTTCAGCTGACTGTTGACCAATTTGGGTTGGTAGCAAAAGGCATCTGGGGACTGTGCGGGAAGCTATCAGCTACTTTAAATAGCTTAGGCTGTTATTTTGCTCCTTGTTTTGAGCCAGAAGGAAAGCTTGCAGCTAAATGGAAAAGACACAAAGGAGAGTATTCATCAAAGATAACCTTTGGGTTATCGTACCTGCGAGGGGTTGGGGCCGCTCAGGTTAGATGCTCTGCATCTCAGCAATTACTTCTGAAGTCAGGTTCCGGCACTGAGCCCTTTCCCTGGAGAATCCTTTCCTTTCACAGGCTTTGCAGGCAGGCAAGCGCCTCTGTACTGAGTTTAACTTTCATGAACATTTGTGTCCTTGCCCCAACAGGAACTGTAGAAGTGCCCTGTCACGTAAAAGTTTGGAGGGCTGCACGCAGTAGGTATGGAGAGAGCAGAGCAGGCAACAAGGCAGAGCTTCAGTTGAGGGGAAGTTTTATTTTTCGTTTCCCTCATGAATAATCAGATTTATTTGTTGACATAAATATGAATGAGCAGGCACATCTGAAATGTATTGGCTTATATTATGTGTTCTATATGCCAAACTAGATGATATAATGTAATTTTGCAACCGATTGTAGGAAAGCATATGAAAAAGGCCTTTAAAAAGGAATGTGTAGTCATATAGATGGAATGAAATTTGCTGGTACAAACTCTACTAAATAATGTCAACCTATTTGTTTTATCAAAAAAGCTTTATTTCTATAACACTTTATATATGGTGTACTACTAAGTAACGATAATTAAAAAAAAAAAAGTCATGTTTTTTTCTTCGAAGTCTGGCAGTTCCTTTATTCTTGCTGTTTTACATGGCTAGAAGGAAAGCAGGGTTATCCTCACTGAGGGAAGGACTCAGCCTTGCCTGATGCAGCCCTATAGGCACTAGCTAGAGTAGGATAAATGGCATTAGTAATCGTCATAGTTGACACCTGCTCCGTGCCTGAAGGTGTGTGGATTCCGTGGGCCAATTGGTGAATCTTCATCGTAGTGGTGTTGGTAGTATCCACCATAGTATTCATTTCGAGCACGCCCTAAGTTTGTCCAGTAGGAGATGTCATCTTCAAATTTCTGCCAAAAAAAAATAAATAAAAGAAGAAAATACTTGCTTTCCAAGCTTGAAACTTTACAATGAAGAGAGTGAAACAGAAGTGATACAAGAGGCTCCTTTTGTCTCTTTTCAGAAAGTCAGATCATTTGTGTATTTGTCAAAATGAAATCTTCAGATGCAAAGGGTTTTGTGTCCTGTACCTACCTTCTCTATAGGATTACCAGAGTCTTGACTGCAGGAATTGTCCTGCTCAGCCTCACTTGGGACCCAGCCTCACACTTTGTGCCCACTGTAAAGTGCTTGAACTGGGAATGCCTGCAACTGAGAGGTGCACTGCCCACCTTTAGTACTTCTATTACCTTTTTAGTGTTGGACTAGAAAACCATTTCAATGTTATGTACTTAAAAATCTAGAGGTTTGGGTCCCTGCTGTGCCTGAATCAAAGTGGGTGCAACAAGGTTTTGCTTTATGCCTGTGATCTCTCATTTCCATTTTGCAGGGGTAAAAATGAATGTACAGCACAGCCTTCTAGCTATGGAAGTGAAGTGAGCTGTTCAATTCTGCACACAACAGCAGAGGAAAAACAGTGTGCAAGGATATCAAATACTGGCCAAGTCAAAGCTTTTCCATCTGAATGACTCTTTGGAAATATTCTTGGCTGAGATTTGAGAAAAAAAAAGTTTTGCAAAATACACAATGGGTAAGAACGGCCCAAGTCTTTTGCTGGGACAAACAGTTATTTCATTGTTAAAACTGTGTCTTAATACCCAAGAAAATGTCCTAAGTGGATCCACTGTATCCCACAACAGGCTTAATTTCAGTTTTCGATATGCACACAGGAACTCTGAAGGGAATTCATTTTATCTGCACACAGTGCAGTAGTATTTACCCCCAGTCTTCAGTTTCTGATGCATTAAAACAGATTTTTCCTATTTTTTCTATTGCTACTGGAGGGGGGGAGGGAGTGGAATATAGCCATGCTGTTAAAAACTCGTTTTTATCTGTATAATGTCCAGGAGCAACAAAAAGATATATCTTTCATTCTTTCAGTCCAAGCAAAGGATTTTTTTTTTAATTGGTCCAGCTTTGGAAATGAGTGCATTCATCTTCTAAGCAATCCATATAGCATGAAGGTCTAAACTGTACTCCAGCTCGCCTGTGCCAGTGCAATCTCATTAAACATATTCATGCAGCTGACACAAGCCAAGAATTCAACATCTACAACTATTTTTACCTCTTATTAACACAGAAATTATTCCCCATGTAGGACTGCAACTAAATGCACATTTTTCACCCTATTCCAGCATCTATTTAGTAGTGCTTTGTACAAAGCTGGGAACTCTTGATTCCACTGCAGCGTTTTTACAAATTAACTGTTTGTTGGGTTTTTTTTAAAAAAAAAAAGACGTATCCTTCTCATTTGAAGGGAGGCTGGCTGCACACTGCCAAATGGTTTTCCTTTCCCATTTGGAGTCGAGGCACAGCTTCCAGTGCCCACACCATGGAGGCACACGCGTGCATTATGTACACAATGTTAGTGCAATTTCACTGAGGAATGCCAATCACGACCAGCTTGGTGTGGATTTCTCGGCATGTTTAAAAGGAAATTGATAAGGTTTGAGGCCACCAAATTAATTTCCTGAAGTACAATTGATTGCTTTGGGTCTGGCCACCTATTTCTCAAAGCGAACTTTGTTTATGCATCCATTTGCAATTTATTAAGCTTAAGTTCGGTAGCGGGCAAGAGCTCCCTGCCAAGATTTTAATGTCGTTTTTCTTCGTTAACAAAAAAACACTGAAATCCCTGACAAACAAAAACAAAATTGCAGTGTCTGTGAACAGAACTTCTCCCTGCCAACCCTTTGAGAGCCTCACACTCACCGCCTCATCGAACCCCAGGTAGAGGAACTGCTGGTACCACTGCTGGACGTCGGGCTGGCTCCTGTCCCACAGCTGCCGCCTCTGGCGTCTCAGGCTGCTGAGGAACTCCTTGGCTGCCGGTTCTTTTTCAGGCTTCGTGGCAACATGGGCTGAAATTAATTCCCCCCCCGCCCCACAAAAAAAAGCACGCCAGGAAATTTTTAGACAGCCTGAAGTGTACTGCTCGCAGCAAGTAAGAAATGCGTGTGGCAGTAGTAACTAATAAACCCAGGAACTGTTGATGTACTAAAATTTTTCAGCTACCCTCATTCTCCTGGATTTTTGACAAGCTGTTCTGAGCTCAAAGACAGAAGCTAAGTGAGGAATTTAAATAAACAAACCCAAACTCATAGAGCGTATAGACTACGTGTTTGTGCTTTGAGGAGAGAACAAGAGACTGGCCTCTGTGCACTGCTCTTGCAGAAATCGTAGAATCATAGAATTGTCAGGGCTGGAAGGGACCTTAAAGATCAACTACTTCCAACCCCCACTGCCATGGGCAGGGACATCCCCAACTAGACCATGTTGCCCAGAGCCCCATCCAGCCTGGCCTTGAACACTTCCAGGGATGGGGCTTCCACCACCTCTCTGGGCAACCTGTGCCAGTGTCTCACCACCCTCATGGGGAAGAACTTCTTCCTAACATCCAATCTGAACTGATCCATCTCTAGCTTCAGTCCATTCTCTCTAGTCCTATCACTACCCAACATCCTAAAAAGCCCCTCACCAGCTTTCTTGTAGCCCCCCTAAGATACTGGAAGGCCACAATAAGGTCTCCTTGGAGCCTTCTTTTCTCCAGACTGAATAACTCCAACTCTCTCAGTCTGCCTTCATAGGAGAGGTGCTCCAGCCCACTAATGGGTGTGAAGATGTGAGGTGAAGTTAAAAAGCCAGAAGAAGCAGAGAAACACTGCTAACACATTAGGGTGAAGGGAGATGCACATAAAAAAAGATACATTTTTGAAACTGTTGCATAAAAATGTAGATTCTAAATATTGAGTGCTACTAAATGGCCTGTGTACCTGAAAATAAAAGTCCATCAGGCTTTTGTAGTTCACAGCTTGATGGATGCATGGGAATGCCCTCAACCTGTCAGACCGGGATGTGCCACCTGGCTTGTCCCATGTGTAAGATCCAAGCATTTTCTGTGTCTGGAGGAATTTACATACCTCCGAAAGGTATGGATGTGAGGACTGGCCAGTGCCCTGCCACGCATGAAAATGATAAAACATGACATGATGTTTGGCTTCCCTGTGAAACAAGAGGCACATGTAGGAGTAGGAGGAATATCATGGCTTCAGAGTGTTCGTTGGAATGAAGGAGAAGAGATCAGGAACATGGAGGCTGATGGGGATTTTTGGAGGATGTGAGGGAAGAGGCAGGGAGAGACAGGGAAGTGAAGTGAAGATGTGAAAACCATTGAAATGGGAGCCAGGCAGACTCACAGCATGAGGCAAAGGGCTGCAGCAGGAAGGAGATTCAGGAGGTAAATTGATAGATGAGTTGTCACAAGAGGAGTGGGAAGCAGCAGGCTGCACTGCTGTGATGAGCTGGAAAGTGAACTCGCTGTGCAAGCAAGCTGAGAGTTGTTACAGGGAAGTGGGATAGCTGAGCAAAAGTCACAGAATGAGCCTCACACAAGGGACACTGCCAGCAGAAGTTCAAACCAGTGCTGTGTACTTAGCCTGCTCATGTTAGTGCACAGCTGGAAAAGGGGTTGAGGCTGGAATTTAAAGGGCTGAATATTTCCTCAATGATCAATTCAAGGCTCCACAGTTCTTCCCGGTCTAAACCCTGCTGGGGTGCCGAGCGGGGAGCTGTTCCAAATGGCCACTCCCACCTGCATGCAAGCACTGCAGAGCAGCAAGGTAGGGAACCCACGTACAAGGAAAATATCAGTGGATAGGGCAGACTTTTGAGGGCTGGCAAGAGGTGGTGGATGATGCCAGGAAAAACCCAGTGAGAAGTTAGGCAAACTTGCAGAAAGTGGGAATCCCCTCTGTGAGGTGGGAGATATAAATTCTTTACTTCAGCCACAGAGCAGTCTGAGGCAACCAGAACTTCTGAGGTGTTTCAGCACATCCCCCGTCTGCTGCAGTGCTGCTTGTCCCCTGGCCAGCTCTGTTTTCATCCCCTTCCCTCAACCAGTAATCCATGCCGAGCATCTGCCCACTGGGCCCTCAGCCATCATCTTTCACTTAGAGAGAGCAGTCTTCCAAGAAGGAAGCACACATGGGGCCAAGAGGACCAAGGGAACAAGTCAAGGCATGGCAAGCAAGCCCAGTTTGCACATTTTCTTCTCTTCACCTGAGCCAACAGTAGTATTTCCATGCATTGTTATTCCTTGGAAAAGCTGGTGGCTTCTTAGAATAAATCAGATAAACGCCACGTCTGCCATGCATACAAATGACAAAGGTAGGTGCCATATGCTGAGCAGAGCAAAACGCAGAGTTCCAGAGGCTGAAAACCGGGGTTGTCAAAGCGGGCTGTGAGAAGCAGAGGCTCCAACCTGGCTAGTACTAACTCCCAAACGGACATGCAGGCAGGGGAGGTTTTTGGCATGGAACTATTTGAACCAGGTACTCATACGTGGCTCCTCTGCCTGCCCTCTTTGAGTTGGAGACAGAGTGACGACATCTTGGCAGCTTCAGCTGGTAACAACTGACTCAAAGCAAAAAGCTGTCTCTTCACTTACCTTCGCGTTTCTGAAGCATCAGCTTAAGCTTATTTCCCCTTGAAACATCTGGACAAGTAAAAATAAAACACGTACATTTACTAAGAAGGAAATGACACCACCACCACCAGAGATCAAGTCTTGAAAAATACCGAAAGTATTTTTGTCATAGCTCCAGACCACCAGGCAAAACTCTGCAGCAAGTTTCTCCCAATGCCTCCCTTTGCTCCTGTTTCCAAGCCTGAGCACAACACACGCTGCAGGGAAGCTTCTGCCGTTCCCGCATCCTCTCTCCAGCTCTTGGCAAGGGAAACCCTGATATCGGCTTTCTTTGCCAATTAAATTACAATATTTTTCAGCAGAAGAGCGCAGCCGGTGCCAGTACTGTGACAGAGCATCCAGGGTGACACAGTAACCCTGGAAAACTCTGGTCACTGAGCAAGGGGGATGCTAAAAACCAGACTGTTTCAAAATTATGCAAACAACAGGACTGCTTCAAAATTTTGCCTTGCCGTCTGTCCCGCAGCACATCCAAGCTGCTGAAGCCCTTTCCCAGAAGGGAACCGAAGTTTTAGGCGAGCAACAGGAGACCTGCAAGTGCTCGGCTGCCCCGAAATGCGTTATTCGCTCGAAAACAAGCTCCTTGGAAAAGATGCTCAATTTGCACAAGTATTGGAACGACGAAAAAACGTTCAACCCACGCGTGATGCCGAAGTCCGGATTTTGCCCGCTCCCCGGGACGTCCCGGGTTAGATTTTCCCCTCCCCGTACCCCGCACCCGTTCACTCACCGGGGGCCGCGCAGAGCAGCGGGAGGAGGAGGAAGAGGAGGAGGAAGGCGGCCCCGGGCAGGGCCCGGCGGGGGCACGGCGGTGGCGGCGACATGGCGACAGGG